CTGTACTACAACCAGACAGAGCTACAGCTGAATTTCCCGAGCCCCAGACACTTACTATATCCTCGCTGCATTGCCAGCCTGCTCGTTATAAGCTTGTGTTAGCACTTTCTGGTTACGGTTCTGTCAAATCCCAGGCCACTCGTGCCTCCCTTGCCCTTGCATGTGTTTTTATAAAGTATTATGATTCTTCCTAATCCCGGGCTTTGTTCCTTTAGAAAAACACTGCAACTCGATCCCTCTCAGTTAATGTCGTGGGACTGAGTTCACTCCGACTTGGCTTGAAGCAACTGATGCTCAAAACATCTGGCCCATGTGGGCAGTAGCTGTGCTGGGGAATGCGAATGCTACCAGTTACCACAGGTAAGCACGGTGCCGCTCAGGCCCCCGCAGCTCCTGCTACCAACGTCCCGTGGAGGTAACCGTAGCATCGGCTGCTACCTGGCTCTCCCACTCTCCGCCTTTGCTGCCCGGATGGGGAAAAAGCAGAGGAAATCAGAGAATTCCTCTCTGACCGGGCGCAGGTCAAGGTAAAGAATAATGGACCTCACATGGAGCTCCGAGGGCAGGGGCTGATCGATGGCCACGCCACTTCAACAGGCTGAAAACGCCTCTAATGGGAAAGCTTAAAGCCCCCTTCCCATAAGCCCGAGTCCTCTTCCAATTCTTTTCTTGCAAAAATGGGAAAGGGAAGAGAATTAATGGGGAATTCCGATGTGCTCAATTAGCCAGACCCCCTTCCAGGCTCCTCTGGCACTGGCTGGAGTGCCTGATGACTGAGGCCTGCCATATGCCGACTGGGTAAACAGCGGCAGAAGGACTGACCGCCACAGTCCACCAGACAGGGCGACAGATAAGGACTGGGGGGAAATAAGAGAGGGTAATGGAGACCAATTGGAAGGAAAAGACAGATGGAAGGAAAGGACATATTGAGATAACAGCCGAAGACAAACAAACAAGGGCAATAAAGCCCGGAGCCACCACCACAAGGGCTCCGATGTGGAGTGAAGGGGTGATGGGGTCACGACTGCCCGAAAGATAAAAGACCTCTGGTCCCCTCACATCCCTCTCAGCCCCTCCTGAGAACCACGGAGAGCAGGGAGACCATCTTCTCTCCTGCCACCAGAGTTCCTCAGGGTTCAAGGAGAACGTTCTCACCCGCAGGAAACTGAGCGAGGGGACACGCCAAAAGCCTGCCCAGCACTCAGAAGACGCCAGCCGAAACGCCGGCTGGGAAAGCGGGGCAAGGCTGCACATGGGATGGCACGCGGTGGCCCCTCAGTCATGCTCGCAGCTGTGGCTCTTTTCTTTCAGCACCAGCTTTCGGGAGCACGGGGTAACACGTGCACCTTCCTACTTCCAAACCCAGAATCTCAGAGGTGAAAACTTCACAGGTAGGGACGCAGGACTAGACGGGACCTCCTCAGTACGATCTCTTGCTATTGTAGGCACCGCTTCAAATAATATTTTCCTTAAATGTATAGAGTGCCCTTTTAAAAGCAATTAGGTTTTCAGCCACCATTATTCTGGTCAGTATTCCAATGATAAAGTATCTTTTTCTAACTTCCAGCCTAAATGCATTCACTTTATGCCCATTTGCTATTGTGCCAAATTGGCCTTTTGCTTAAAAAGAACTTTTCCTCCCCTATTATTTTTCCCGCTAACACAGACATCAGTCATATCCTCTCTCAGCTTTCACTTTGCTAGGCTAAACATGGCAAGCTGTTCTAGCCCGCTTTCTTAAGGAAAGATTCCTATCCCCTGGGTCAACCATAACAAGCCTTTTCTAGTCTGAGGTCATTTTGCTTGGGAATATGAGAACATACAGTATTTTGGGGCCTCACGAGAGCTTAATACAATGGCATCAGTATTCCCTCATGTTTTATGAAAAGACTTTCCTTAGTACATTATGGGATATTTACCACCTTCTGAGCCACATTACATCTGCAGCTGACTGCTGGGCCCAATTTTTTTTCTACTCTGTTCCTAATGACTAGAAATGTTTTTCACACAAGACCTCAAATGATGGTCTTAATGTGGTTTTACTGGGTGTCATTAGCTGCTGTACAAAATTCAGATTCTCCTCTGCATTCCTAATACCTTTGCAGCTGCAGCAAATGTCATCAGCCCATTCCTAATTCTTGTGTTGGAGGCTGAGAAACAAAAATACTGATTGTTGGGCTTGAGGCAAGTCCTTGAAGAACTCTGCTAATTAAGCTCTATCAAGACTGAGATACGTCCTTTCACACAACTTACTGACATCTTTCCTTGAACCAGTTTCTTGTCCATCTCATAGCTGCTGCATTTTCCCTTATCTGTACCAATTTATCCAAGTGTTTCCCATGTGGGAAATACATTAAAATGTCTCACCGAGGTTCAGATAAATGAAACTTATCAGATCTATTTCGCTTTTTAGGAAGCCAATGATGTTCTGAATGATCATGTGATCAATCTTTGAGAAATTCTTCTCAAATTATTTCCAATTTTGTCTCTTCCTCGGAGATACCCTTTCCCCCAGGTCCTCCTGCCTGGTCACACTGCCTGCCCTGTCAGCTCTTTCAGAGTGCCTGGGAATAAAGTGGGCATGCTCCCTGTGACTCCAGAGCTTTACGCTACCTGAGTTTTGCTTCCCCCTTAGCACTGATAGGCTGGAAATGGAAATTTTCTCCTTTGCTCCCACGCTCATGTATTTCTAAGAGCCAAGAGGAAAGACTGCCCTGCACTGGCCAAATACTATCCTGACCGGGCAACTCTGGAACCCGTAGCAAAGCCATCTCAGAGCCATCCCAGGTCTCCTCTCCAGATCCTTTCATATTCATCTCCTTTCCCAGCACCTCCATTTCTCACTACCCCCAAATCCTCATCCACTCAATCCACCCCAAAGCCCCAGTGTCATTCACTCCAGAGCCCTCTGTTCTCCCGACCCTTTGCTGCCACTTGACTCCCACCTGAATCATTTGACCCAATCCCAAACTCCCCTCCACCAGCAGCCCCCCCATCCCACCCTAAACCTCAGTGCTGCTGAGCTCCTCTTGCCCTGCCTGTCCACACACACCAGCTGCCTCCTCCCGCCTTCTTCGCTCCAGGGTGCCAGCACCATCGGCCACTGCCTGCTGGGACAGACCTTGCCTGCTCCCCACCCTGCTTGGCTTTCCCCCCAAAGCACAGTCCCAGGGGGATTTAAAAATCTTCCCTGCCAGCACGTGCTCCCCCAGGCAGAAGTGCTGAGGACAGAAGACATCTCCACCGTGCCGCAGACATAGGGTACCCCTCCCCACGAGCAATGCCCCCATTCTGACTCGAAGCCCCGGCTTGTTTGCTCTGGGGGCAGAAACTGCCCTAGCTTTAGGCTCAGCCCCATCCCCACTCACTCGCAGCTCCTTTCTTCCAGTCTCCTCCAATTTACAAAGCGTAAAAAGCGTTTGCTGTTTTGCTACCCTTTGCAAGGTCTGACTCGGCGTGATTTTTTTACTGCTCTCACTTCATCTTTACACTTCTTGACCCTCAAGACAGATTTTTGCGTTATTTATTTGCTATCAGGTTTTTTTTTCCCATTCTTAGTAGTCTCTCGGTCTATTCCTAACAGCTTCTCTGTGGTAGTTATTCATTCAGTGAGGTCTGGATATTCTTCCTACGAGCTTTTTCCTCTTGCTTGGCATGCAGAATTGTAATGGCTTTAGCATCTTTGACTTGAAAAAGTTCCAGACCTCCTTCACATCGAGTTCCTCGGCTGAGTTTATTAACCAGCTCCCTTAGTTTATCAGAGTTTGTTCTTTGAAATCCACAAGCTTAATTACACACTGGTTTATACTTCCATTTAATTTAATCTAAAATGACTGCGTTCATTTAATCTAAGGTTATTTTCTGTGACCATCTGTTCTACACAGCCCACAAAACCCAGGCTTGAAATAACTGTCTTTTGCTGGGCCGTTTGGAAACCTTTTGTCCAAGTCCTGTGTTAACTGGAGAGACAGAAATCGCCTATGAGAGCTTGCCTACGGAGTCCAAAGAAGCACGGGCACTGAAGCATTCCCAGCACAACTTCAACAGCTTTCTGCACGGTAGCAAAGGCAGGACGTAACATTTTTAAGCTGCGTCCTTAAAGCAGGACAAAGCCAACTAAAACCGTATCATCGTCTGAAATCGCGGCTCAGCGAGATTCCTGCCCATCTAACAAGTTTAACAAGACAGGTTAGTGTTTTACACACGCTGCGGAGCAAGTACCTTCTCACTTGATCTTCTAATACAGATGTTACTACAGTTCAACTGGCGCCTCAAACTTCTGGCCCTATTCTGTCCCAAGGCAATAGGACTGGCTGTTAAAAAGTCTCGTAACATATTCACTCCTTATTTTAGACAGGGTATTCATCTGCAGTAATCCAAGTTCATGGCTCCAGATGTGTAAGATGTTCAAAGCAAGTAATGCAGAGAAAAACCATCACTTTCAGGCTCCTGCTCCGTGGAGGAATGCCCTCCCATTTCTAAGCAAATGCAGACCCTCTGCCCTTCCAAGCCATAAAAACCCCTTAGCCCCAACCCCAAACTAAGTTCCACAGCTTTCAAGGCCACAGCTTTCCACCCCTTGCAAATTTGCCCCAATCTGATTTTGCAAAAGCAGCATGCAGTGTTTGCAAAGCTTCAACGTGGCACACTGACTTCACAATCAAAAAAACAGAGCAAATCATCTTTGGTGGCAAAACGAAGCCGAAATTACATGCAGAAGAGGCAGACGTACATGGGAAAGGGAAAGATAATTCAGTAACAATTAGAAGTAAGAAAGGGCAGAGAGTTGATAAGGAAATGAAGGATATTAGTTAAGAATGTGCAAAAGAGCAAGGCTAAGTACACTTAAGAGGATTTTTTTAATATGCATAATTAACCTTAGAAAAGCTCACTACTAGGGAAGAATGATACAAATTTTAAACACCCTGTGGAAAAGGCACAAATGTTCAAGGAAGCATTCTTGTTCTACCTTTGGGAAGAGGCAGGATTACACACTTGTACCAAATATGAATGATGCTACATCTTCCAGAGAAATTGTGTAAAAAGCAAATGTGCATACACTGAACACCTATGAAGAGGGCAACTTCACCTATGTTTACAGCATCGGTGGCCAATACCAGAACCCAGCATGTCATTTTGGATTCCAGTTTCTAAAAGGACATGGGAAAACTAAAGTGATGTGAAAACGATTTGATGGCTGATGAGAACATCTGAGAGAGCCTTCAGTGCTCAACCCAGTTTGTCAAGAAAGAGTGGTGAATAAATTACAGGAGATAAATACGTCTGTGCAGAGGAAATTATGATTACTAAGGGCCTTTTGGATCTAGCTGAAAAGGCAGAAAAAGAACTGATTGGAAGCTGACGCCAGATAAATTCAAGTGATAATGAGGCAGTGTTGAAACAGGGTGATTAATGATGGTAGCATACTACAAAGGGAAGCGATGGATTCGCCATCCCTAGGGGCCTGCTGATCAAAACTGCGTATCTGCTCAGAAAATGTCTGTCACCTAGATGCAAACTATTTCTTTCTTGTGCAAAACATATATTTCAGGCATAGCCAGGTAGCCTGATTCAATGTTTGCTTCTGGGCTTATATTCCCAAAATTCTGAATGAAGGCAGTAGAAGAGAACTCCACGTGCCAAGAGGTTTTCCTCTTCACCACCAGCCTGCCACTTTGGCAGCTCTGGGAAGCCAGTGTCTGCAATGTAAACCTTGAAAGTCTGTGCCAGCACCTCGTTTATTTGGAAAGGGCTCGCATGTCTGCCATACAGTATCTCAACAGACCCAAAAACTCACTGGCTTTACCTGGCAATGGAAGCCTGCCATGAAAACTGGATTATAATGTTGTCACTACTGTCTGCAATAGTCACAAAAATGCAGCAAATGTGACCATACACCGTTTCAAGGGAGTTACTGGGGCTATCCCTCATCAAACCTCCAAGTAATTCAGTATCTAGCGATCTGAGAAAGAGGAAGGGGTCGGCATTCGTCTTACCCTGCGACCAGCCTCATTGTTCTGCAAGTTCATCAGCATGCGAGCCTGCTCCTCTGAACCTCTCACGTAGTTCTTCTCCCTCTCCTTGGCATCCACAAACTCCTTGGCAAAACGATATCCATACTCCACGTTATCGCCGCAGCCACCCCACAGCCAGTCTCGGGGCAAGTCCTTGGGCCGGGCGGTCCGGCTGCAGCCGCAGCTGGAGAGCTCTCCTTCGCGGCAAGCCCGGCTGATGGCGTTCACCACTCCAGCGGCGCTGACGGCGTAGGTGAAAGCAGTCTCTCGGCTCCCTGCGAGAGAGATGCGAGAAGCCAATTAACAGGAGACAGAGCTCATCGAACAAACGCGACACACCGCACGGGTTCCCAACAGTAGGACACGGTGTGATCTGAGGAGGTGCACAGAATTAACCGGAACAAAGGAATGGGATGGGCAAGCGCAAGGGCATCACCCTGTTCTGGTAGAGGGGCAACTGTGCTTGCATCTCGGTTCTGGTTTCATTTGACAGTAACAGCTCCAGTCAATTGAGCCAGGAAACTCCCGGCCTTGCCCAAAAGAAACAGCAATGCCATAGGCAGGGAGTGCTCAGCCTCCTTCCCCTCAGCATCCTCCTGTTTTAACCGGGAGGAATCTCTTGGGCAGCAAGAGGGTTATTCACTCCCTGAAAATCCAGCTGTTCTCTCAGCTGCTGAATCTGCCAGTAATCACTGGGAACAACTGACGAGCTTGGGTCCGTGCAAGAGCAGCATTGTGGCTGAGCCAGGTATCACTCCGGAGCAGGCTGAATTTAACAGGGACAAGCACTCCTTATGAGCACCTCGGTTCATCGACCTTATTTTGGTTTACAGAAGGTCAGCTGAGAACTGTTCTGATGCACACTGAAGGAAACCCATTTTTACACCAAAGCATTGAGGCAGAGGCTCTCCCAAGGCCTACAGAACCGCAGTGCTGGCACAAGTCAAACTTTCCCATGTAGACAATAATAAATGAAAAGACTTTCCATTAGCAGGTTTACTAGAGACTGCCCTGCTCGGCGTGTATGCTCTACACAGCTCAGAGTCTTAGCCAAGCAGCTGGATCGGGTCTCCAGCTATGTATTCCTGGCAGCGGGTCAGCCCCAATTTGACCGGGGCACCAACACAGCCAGAACGCTGCATGAGGCCAGCCTGCTGCACCAGGAGTGCTGCGGGTCTGCGGGGGGGAGGAGGAGGAGAAGGAGGCAATCCACACCTGCACTCTCACCACACGGTGTAAGTAATGGCTAAACTGACACCTTCAGCATCATTGTGTGCATCACCAAACTTCCAGGTGATAAAGAGAACAGCTGACAAAGCTTCATTGGAATAAGCAACCTGGTTGTGAAGAGCTGCTCACACCAAACCCCGGAGAGGGGTGACCCTCTAATGCTCTCCAGCAAATCCGAATGACTCCACCATCAGTTTGTCACCAACCCACGAGGCTCTCAGCACCGGCTCACTCAGCAGGACTGAGCTGAAGCTTTTGGTATGCTCTTGTTCCAATTTGCATGTGCTGACAATCTGTAATTAATAGCAGCTTATCACCAGCTTAGTGGTAATGACCCAGGGACAAAGGCAAGGCTGTGAATGGCATCCACCTTGCAGAACAACTGATCCCCAAATGAGAGTTGTACACTAAGGGCCTCTGCTCTGGAGTAAAATGCTAGGACACACACAGTATAGAATGGGGGGGGCTTACTGGAAGGTCAAAAGGAGAGGTCCAAGCCCCCCAAACCTCCCTGAGGTAGTCCAAGAGGTAAAAGAGGAGTGACCCCTATTAAAGGTAATTCAGCCAAGACCGGTCCATAAGGGAGTTTTGGTCATTTTGCAGCACCCAGAATTAAGCTTTTACTCATCTAGTTTCATAGAATCATGGAATGGTTTGGGTTGGAAGGAACCTTACAGACCATCTAGTTCCAACCCCCCTGCCATGGGCAGGGACACCTTCCACTAGACCAGGTTGCTCCAAGCCTCATCCAGCCTGGCCTTGAACACTTCCAGGGTTGGGGCATCCACAGCTTCTCTGGGCAACAGAGAAGTTTGTTTTGCGTGTTAGGGGTATTTTAAGGGAATGGTCCAACGTGTGGTTTTGCCCCCCAGTCCGTGCCTGTATGGGGACACACCAATCCTCCTGTCAAATAGAGCACTACCTGTGTCTACAGGGATTAAAATACATCCAAGGAAAGGCCCTTACACGACTCCGGGGGCTTAGCAACCAGACAGCTCGACAGGGATCCCTGCGCAGGCTGGGATTCGCATGTCTACTGTCTGTGTTGTGGCCACCTCCGAGTTCCGAACGCAGCAGCATGGCACCTGGCTCTGCGCGAGGAGTTCAGGCTGCTGAGGATCATAGAATCACAGAACGGTTTGGGCTGGAAGGGACCTTACAGACCATCCAGTTCCAACCCCCCTGCCATGGGCAGGGACACCTTCCACTAGACCAGGTTGCTCAAAGCCTCATCCAGCCACATCCAGCCTGGCCTTGCAAAAGGATGGGGGGGGGGGAGAGGCTGAAGCAAGTCAAGGTGGGTTTCCTCCCCACTCCTTGCTGCCCACAAAGCAGGCCCAACCACGCTGCGCGGCAGAAGCGGTTTTGGAAGACGGCGGCTGGATTTGAGAGGCGGGATGGGATGCGCGTGTGGAACCCTGCACTGACACACAGCAAATCTGTGCCTGGCCATTCCGGGCTCGCGCACCCCGATTTTCCCTGCTCTCCTACCTCGCCTTCCAGCCTTGGCCAAGCGTTCGGGTTCTCGCTCCTCAACCCCAAATCCACCCCAGTTCCACCCCTCTGCTCCCGGGGGCGTTATTCCCCGAAGTGGTGCAAAGGCAGTAACACAGGCACATGCCGGGCGGTGGGTCACCGGCAGCTCGGCGGAGCTCTGCTGCCCTC